AGGAGGCTGAGGCTGGAGAGTTGCCTGAACCCAGGAGGCGGAGGTTGCGGTAAGCCGAGATCGCGCCATTGCACTCCAGCCTGGGTAACAAGAGCGAAACTCCGTCTCAAAAAAAAAAAAAAAAAAAAAAAAAGAAAGAAATAATTATTAGCTTTGTTAGTAATCAAGGAATGTAAATTAAAACAATATCATATCGCCGGGCGCGGTGGCTCAAGCCTGTAATCCCAGCACTTTGGGAGGCCGAGGCGGGTGGATCACGAGGTCAAGAGATCGAGACTATCCTGGTCAACATGGTGAAACCCCGTCTCTACTAAAAATACAAAAAAATTGGCCGGGCGCGGTGGCTCAAGCCTGTAATCCCAGCACTTTGGGAGGCCGAGGCGGGTGGATCACGAGGTCGAGAGATCGAGACCATCCTGGTCAACATGGTGAAACCCCGTCTCTACTAAAAATACAAAAAATTAGCTGGGCATGGTGGCGTGTGCCTGTAATCCCAGCTACTCAGGAGGCTGAGGCAGGAGAATTGCCTGAACCCAGGAGGCGGAGGTTGCAGTGAGCCGAGATCGCGCCATTGCACTTCAGTCTGGGCAACAAGAGCGAAACTCCGTCTCAAAAAAACAAAACAAAACAAAACAAAAATATCATATCATTTCACTCCCTCCAAAAATTGTGAACTCCTAGAGAAGGTAGGATGCACACACTACAAACCAGCAACTTCTCTCCTGGTTATTTATGCATCTTAGAGAGCTGCTCCACACATGGGTGAGAAACCACACAACCATGCTCACTGAAGAATCTTTGGAATAGCAAAAAATCAGCAAAGACCTACATATTCATCAACAGGAGAAAGGATAAATTGTTCTACTCATACAATGGAATGCTTTAAATCAATTAAAGTTAATGAACTGTAGCAACATGTATCAATATGGATAAAGCTCAAAAACAATGATTCAAAAAACAAATTGTAGATGATGCGTACATTATATAAGGTTTTCTACAATGTATATACCCAAGGACACTGAAGATACAAAAGCATGCATGGAAAGTCTCCAAACTAAGATAATGATTGTATCTAAGGAGGGAAGAAAATGGCATTGGGGAAGGGGCTTCAACTGTGGGATATTTTACTTAAGTGCATATGCACATTTAAGTGTGGGGTATTTGCATGTGTGTGTGTGCGTGCGTGCGTGCGTGCGTGCGTGTCTGAAGCAATTACTGCAAAACACTTAAGTCTGACAAAGCTGAGTTCTGGATACGGATATATCTGTTCTAGTTTTTATGCTTTTCTTAAACCATTTAATCACACAAAACTCACCGAAACCATCATGCATTCCTACCCCAAAGAGCCAGCACTCTCTCCCAGCCTCACACCAGGGAACGCTCAGCAGGGAGCAGCAGCTACTGCGTCTTACCAGGTTACCATCTTACCAGGTTACCAGAGCAGCGAGGGGTAGCTCCTCCTAGCTGCTGCTCTTCAGCCCGAGGACCCTGCAGAACTCAGAAGCATTCCCTATCTGCTCCTGCCCTGACCCCAGGGAGATGTACAAGTGGGTATCATACAGAACAGACACTTCCCACAAGGCAGCCCAAGCAGGTGGGACAAATGGACCAGGTTCCTGGGCACAGCCAGGGCATCCCTATGCCTGGGGGTTAAATGAGTAACCCAGAGAGCCCCCAGCCTTCCCTCAGGCACAGGTGGATCTCAGGGAGCACAAAGAGCAAGAGATTTGCAGTCTGGCACATGTGTGTCCAAATCCAGCTCCAACACAAAATAATTCTGTGACCCCAGGCAAATTGTTTAGCCTAAGCCTCTGCTTTTACAACGGTTTTTTTTTTTTTTTGAGACAGAGTCTCGCTCCACTCTGTTGCCCAGGCTGCAGCGCAGTGGTGCGGTCTCAGCTCACTGCAACCTCTACCTCCCAGGTTCAAGTGATTCTCCTACCTCAGCCTCCCAACCTTCTACAACTTAAAATCAGGAATAACATCACCTTCCTTGTGGACTTGTATGCAGTGACCCAAAAGATGTCTAGGAGATACTAAGCATAAAAGAATGTTGCTGAGCAGTACAAAAAAATGTGTTATCTGTCAAAGAAGCCAGTTATAAAAGGCAAATGCTATATGATTTCACTTATTTACATAAGCAAATAGACAGAAAGCAGAAGGGATATCTCGCCTGGAGGAGCAGGAAATGGGAGTGAGCATTTAATGGACAGAGAGTTTTGCAAGATGAAAACAGTTCTGGAGAGGGGTTGGGTGGTACTGATGGATGCACAGTATGAATGTACTTAATATCACTGAAGTGTACACTTACAAATGGCTAAGATGATACATTTTATGTCATGTGTATTTTACCACAATAACAAAATTAGGAAAAAAGTATGTCTGTTTTTTTTTTAAGGTGGAGTCTCACTCTGTCGCCCAGGCTGGAGTACAGTGGTATGGTCTCAGCTCACTGCAACCTCCGCCTCCCAGGTTCAAGCGATTTTCCTGCCTCAGCCTCCTGAGTACTATGATTATAGGCATGTATTACCATGCCTGGCTAATTTTTGTATTTTTAGTAGAGACAATGTTTTGCCCTTTGGGGCAGGTTGGTCTCCAACTCCTGACCTCAAGTGGTCTGTCCGCCTTGGCCTCATAAAGTGCTGGGATTACAGGCGTGAGCCAAGAGGCCTGGCCTGATATGTTACTGATACAATTTTCAAAAACAAGAATGACAGCTGGGCATGGTGGCTCACACTTGTAATCCCGGCACTTTGGGAGTCCAAGGCAGTGGATCACTTGAGGTCAGTAGATCCAGACCAGCCTGACCAACATGGCAAAACCCCATCTCTACTAAAGATACAAAAAGGCCGGGTGCGGTGGCTCAAGCCTGTAATCCCAGCACTTTGGGAGGCCGAGGCGGGTGGATCACGAGGTCAAGAGATCAAGACCATCCTGGTCAACATGGTGAAACCCCGTCTCTACTAAAAATACAAAAAATTAGCTGGGCATGGTGGCACGTGCCTGTAATCCCAGCTACTCAGGAGGCTGAGGCAGGAGAATTGCCTGAACCCAGGAGGCGGAGGTTGCAGTGAGCCGAGATCGCGCCATTGCACTCCAGCCTGGGTAACAAGAGCGAAACTCTGTCTCAAAAGAAAAAAAAAAAAAAAGATACAAAAAAATTAGCCAGGCATAGTAACACATGCCTGTAATCATAGCTACTTAGTGGGCTGAGGCAGGAGAATCATTTGAACCCGGGAGGCACAGGTTGCAGTGGGCCAAGACTGTGCTGCATACTCCCACCTGGGTGAAAGAGCAAGGCTCTGTCCAAAAAATAAAATTATATCAATAACAAACTTATTAATGTGTACAGAAAAAAAATTAGAAAGCTATACATAGCACTATATAGCATTAAGTCTACTCATGATAAGATTGTAGAAGGCTGCTGGGCACAGTGGCTCAAGCCTGTAATCCCAGCACTTTGGGAGGCTGAGGTGGGTGGATCATGAGGTCAAGAGATCGAAACCATCCTGGTCAACATGGTGAAACCCCATCTCTACCAAAAATACAAAAAATTAGCTGGGCATGGTGGCGCGTGCCTATAATCCCAGCTACTCAGGAGGCTGAGGCAGGAGAATTGCTTGAACCCAGGAGGCAGAGGTTGCGGTGAGCCGAGATCGCGCCATTGCACTCCAGCCTGGGTAACAAGAGTGAAACTCCGTCTCAAAAAAAAAAAAAAAAAAAAAAGATTGTAGAAGGCTGTCTACATTATATGTTCTTCTATTACTTAAATCTGGTATGTTTGGCCAGGCACGGTGGCTCACGCCTGTAATCCTACCACTTTGGGAGGCCGAGGTGGGTGGATCACCTGAGGCCAGGAGTTCAAGACCAGCCTGGCCATCATGGTGAAACCCCATCTTAAAAAAAAAAAAAAAAATCTGGTATGTTTATGAGTAGAAAAACTACTTGGAAATAAATCAGAAGACCTTCCTCACTGTGTGGTTTCTCAGGATAATAAAAGAATTTGTAGGTCGGGCACGGTGGCTCAGGCCTGTAATCCCAGAACTTTGGAAAGCCAAGGCAGGCGGATCACCTGAGGTCAGGAGTTTTGAGACCAGCCTGACCAACATGGAGAAACCCCATCTCTAAAAAAAAAAAAAAAAAAAAAAACACAGAAAATTAGCTGGGCGTGGTGGCGCATGCCTGAAATCCCAACTACTAGGAAGGCTGAGGCAGAAGAATCACTTGAACCTGGGAAGCGGAGGTTGCGGTGGGCTGAGATCAGCCACTGCACTCCAGCCTGGGCAACAAGCGTGAAACTCTGTCTCAAAAAAAGAAAGAATTTATGATGTCAGGTGTCGTGGCTCATGTCTGTAATCCCAGCCTTTGGGAAGCCAAGGTGGGCAGATCACAAGGTCAGGAGTTCGAGACCGGCCTGGCCAATATGGTAAAACCCCCACCTCTACTAAAAATACAAAACTTAGCCGGGCATGGTGGCAGGCGCCTGTAGTCCCAGCTACTAGGGAGGCTGAGGCAGGAGAATCGCTGGAGGCAGAGGTTGCAGTGAGCAGAAGTTGCACCACTGCACTCCAGCCTGGGCGACAGAGCAAGACTCCATCTCAAAAAAAAAAACAAAAAAAGAATTTATGAGTAGCTGCCATCCATATATTAGAAACAGGTGAGCCCCATCCTCCCTGCCCTACCCCGTAACACACTTGCTCAGCAGCTTGTGGTCTTCACCTCCTGGGAGCAGAGCAGAGAGGAGCTCAGCCCTGGAGTTGGGCAACTCTAACGCCAACCCCACCACTGCCTCACTGGGGCCTCAGAGCCTTTGTGTCTTTAACTGCAAGATGGAAATATTACAGCCTAAAATGGGTTACAGCTGTGAAATGGGTTATGGTGAGAATTAAAAATAACATAAGGCATCATGTGTCAATACAGCACCTGGCACACACAGGCTGCCATTCCACAGTCCCACCTGCCATCACAGACAACCTTCCCAGAATTCAGTGGGGACTCACCTGGGTGAGGGCCAAGCCTCAAGCACCACTGTCTTTGAGGAGGGGCCAGACCACTCAGAGACGCCCCAGGATCCCTGGGACTCGAAGAACCTCCAACACCTGGAGACCCTCCCAGGACACCAGGGTGGCAGAGTGGGCCATCTGCTCTCAGAGCTAGTCCTTAGGTTCAGCCCCAGTCCACATCCCCTGGATGTTTCTCGCAGACAGGGAAGGGAGTCAAGAAATGACAAGCTGCCCAGTCTGTCCCAGAGGGAGACCCCCAGCATGCTCCAGACCCCATGTGGGCCTTTGGGGACTTGGCGTGGCTTCCACACCTGGGCGGCAGGCAGGCTGGCTGCGGGTAAACAGGGCACAGAGAGCCTTTTGTGAAAGCACAAATAAGGCCGAGCCGGGAAAACTTCCCAGGCAGGAGGGGAGGCGGGAGGCTGGCATCCCTCCTGTACCGGGGATGGGAAGGCTGGCCTCCAGTGCTCTCCCAGGGAACGGGAAGGGGCCACTCTCGCCAGGCCCTGTCCCCGGAGGTTCCAAGCCTGTGAATCCAAGCACAGTACACGGGTCGTGTGCTTCCTCTGTCCCAGAGCTGGAGGGGGAGGAGAGGTCTCAGCCTTGTCTGGCACACACAGCCTCCACTCTCCCCAGGGCGGGCACTGCCCTGGAGGCCTCCACACCCAGCTGGGGTGAGTCAGAGGTTGCCGGCTGGGGGTGCTGCCTGCCTTGGGACACACCCTCACTTCCTGGGGAGAGAGGGGGGATGCCAGGGCTGGAGGGGGAGGGGAGCATGTGTCAGTCCCAAACTGCTTTCACCTGGGCTGGGCTCCCAAACAGGTTCGTCCTCAACCTGATGACTATGTGCCTAAGTGATTAAAAAACAAAAAAAAAAGCCGGGCGCGGTGGCTCAAGCCTGTAATCCCAGCACTTTGGGAGGCCGAGGCGGGTGGATCACGAGGTCAAGAGATCGAGACCATCCTGGTCACCATGGTGAAACCCCGTCTCTACTAAAGGTGCAAAAAATTAGCTGGGCATGGTGGCGCGTGCCTGTAATCCCAGCTACTCCGGGGGCTGAGGCAGGAGAATTGCCTGAACCCAGGAGGCGGAGGTTGCGGTGAGCCGAGATCGAGCCATTGCACTCCAGCCTGGGTAACAAGAGCGAAACTCCGTCTCAAAAAAAAAAAAAGAAAAGAAACAATAGGTTCGTCCTCACGCCAACTCGAAAGGGCATGGCCCGCCTTCTAGGGAGAAGGGCAACAGGCGAGGAACACCCACCTGGGCTTCCCCCAGCAGCTCCAGAGCCAAGCACAGAGAGGCAGCAGGTGGGGCTGCAGGCGCAGCCTCAGGACCTGCCCTCGCCCTGCTAGGCTGAAGCAGGAGCACCCAGTTCCTGAAAGTCAAGTAAGTACCCAGCACGTCCTTGCTCCATCTCCCAACCTTCACGCAAACCAGCAAGGTGGCACCCACCTCACCATCATGAGACCATGGGAAAGTCCCTTCACCTCGCTGGGCTTTGGTTTCCTCATCTGTAAAATGGGCTGAAGAGTCTATTCCTTGGAGGACTGTGATGAGGACAGAATGAGGCAGTCCGTGTAAAGCTTTTGGACTAGTGCCTGTCACACAGTAAGGCTCTGGAACGTTCGCTGCTGTTATTATCATGGTAGACTCTATCAGTTCTTTTACGGGTGTGATTTCTGAGGCCCAGAGAAATTCAGTAACCTGCCCAAGGCCACACAGCTAGAAAGGGCTAGGAAGATGCACTCCAAGCTTGACTTTCCATTGTGCCAACCTGCCTCAAAGGCAAGTGGGCCCCCTGGACCCCCCTGGGACCCAAGTCCTTGAAGATACTTCTTGAGATAACACCCTCTTTTCCTTAGGGGTACATGGAAAACGGGGCTCTACAGGGAACCCCATCAGGCCACACTCAGATGCCTCTGATCTCACAGGTACCACTATAAGGAGCTCTGGAAGGGAGCCCAGCTCTGGGTTTAGAGCCAGAAGGCAGTGTTGGGTCTGGACCCTGGGGGCAGAAGGGCCTAGAAGGCAGGCCATTTTATTTTTTTTGAGACAGGATCTTGCTCTGTCACCCAGGCTGGAGCGCAATGGTGCGATCAAGGCTCACTGCAACCTTGAACTCTTGGGCTCAAGCAATCCTCTAGTCTCAGCCTCTAAGTAGCTGGAACTACAGGCACATGCTATCACATTTGGCTACTTTTTTTTTTTTTTTTTTTGAGATGGAGTCTCACTCTGTCACCCATGCTGGAGTGCAGTGGCACAATCTGTGCTCACTGCAACCTCCACCTCCCACGTTCAAGTGATTCTCCTGCCTCAGCCTCCTGAGTAGCTGGGATTACAGACGTGTGCCACCACACTCAGCTGATTTTCGTATTTTTTAGTAGAGACAGGGCTTCACTATGTTGGCCAGGCTGGTTTTGAATTCCTGACCTCAGGTGATCCATCTGCCTTGGCCCCCCAAAGAGCTGGGATTATAGGCGTGAGCCACTGCAACCAGACTAATTTTTTTTTTTTTTTTTTCGAGATGAGAGTCTCACTCTGTTGCCTAGGCTGGAGTGCAGTGGCGCAATCTCTGCTCACCGCAACTTCCACCTCCCAGGTTCAAGTGATTCTCCTGCCTCAGCCTCCCAAGTAGCTGGGACTACAGGCACATGCCACCACACTCAGCTAATTTTTTTTTTAGTAGAGATGGGGTTTTACCACGTTAGCCAGAATGGTCTCGATCTCCTGATCTTATGATCCACATGCTTCAGCCTCTCAAAGTGCTGGGATTACAGCCATGAGCCACTGTGCCTGGCCACTTTTTAAAATTTTTGTACAGACAGGTCGCTATGTTGCCCGGGGTGGTCTCAAACTCCTGGGCTCAAGCAATCCTCCCATCTCAGCCTCCCAAAGTGCTGGGATTACAGGTGGGAACTGCCTCGTCAAGCTAACAAATATTCATATTTACACATGGAGTCACAGCCACACATGGTTTGCAGGTCTTAACCTGTTATGAACACCAACACTGCCTTCCTAGACAGGTTATGAAACGTGGCCACCAGCACCCCAGAGAGGCAGCAGACGCATCTTCTGCTGAGATTCCAGGGGACTGGGCACTAACCACGCCCTTGGCAGGCCAGGGGTCTGGGGGGTCTGACAGAGGGTGAGCTGCCTGGTACCCCACTCTCTGGGCTGGAAGGGGGCTGTCCCCAGGGGTCCTGACCCATGGAGCCGGCTGGGAGATTTGAGGTGTCCCTGCAGGGCCAGGATTCCCGCTCGCCGCCCCCGCTGCTGGTCAGTGCATTTGTCATACTGCCCGTCAGAGGGCGTGGGTTTGGCAGCTGTACTGAGGGCACCCAGGTGGCATGTGAAAGCCGTGGAATTTTACAGCCACTTTTTCTCTGGTGGAATGTCGCTCTAGGCGTCAGGCTTAGATTGCAGCAAGCAATTTAATTTTGAGGTTTTAAGCCCTCAAGAGACGTTTAGATGTAGACGAACTTGCTTCGAGATGCAAGACGCAATAGAAACGCATCTGGAAGACAGCAGGGAACATTTGTGGCCAGGAGTAAAAGCCCTTCTAGAAACCTCAGCTCCACGCGTCCTTAAGGAGGAAGGTTAAGCCCCTTGCCTTCCCAACACACACACTCATACACACACTCTCTCACACACACACTCATACACACTCTCTTACACACACACTCACACGCACTCTCACACACAGACACACACACACACTCACACATACACACAGTGAAGCCACTAAAAAGCAACTGTCTATCCCCGGTCCTTTGGGGAGCTCAGCCCTGCTTCCACACCGAGGACGTGAGTTCTGCAGGAGACGACGGGAACTAAGGCGAAAGAGTGGCCTCTGGTCAACGTTTCTCAGCAGGGTTTATAGCCCACCGGCCTCACAACTGCTGGGGAAGCTTCTTCAAAGTGCAGATTCCTGGGCCTAACCTTCCAGGGCAGACTCTGCAGGTCTGTAGTGGTGGGCCCAGGGGAACAGCATTTTAAATAAGCTCCCAGGTGACTCTGAGGGCCCCCAAAAGCAAGCTCCCAGGTGGCTCTGAGGAACCCCCAGAAGTCTGGGAACTTGAGAAAAGGAAGCAATAGAGGGTGAAGTAGAAAGAGCCCTGGCTGCCAAGCCACACCAACCTGGGTTCAAGTCCTGGCTTTGCCACATATACATTGTATAACCTTGGGCCAGAGACTTCGTCCCTCCGAGCCTTGGTCTGAAAAATGGTAAAGTGATGTCACACACAAGGCTGTGGCAAAGGTAAGGTGGGCAAACGTGTTCAGTGTCCCAGCACGCCGTCTGGCACTGAGACATGGCACGGAGGAGGGCCACGGGCTGTGAAGGTGCTACTGAGGAGGGGGAGCAGCGCACCATCTGTGGAGGGGCCAGCTCCATAGCTCTCATGTGGCATTTGGGAGAGAAAAGAGATTCCTGGGAAAGAACAGAGGAAGTGAAGTGACATGGGGGAGGGAGAGCGACAGGACAGTGCACCTGAAAAGCACAGGTAACATGTCAGGAGCTCCAGCACAGACCTCGCTCCCAGCGCGATCCTGCCAGATGCCCTCGCAGCCCTGCAAAACAAGGCTGCCATGCCTGTATGGTCGCCTTGTCCAAACCCTTCCAGAGGTCAGCTATGTCCCAACAGAGGATCTTTGGACCCAGGGGGCAGGGTGGGCCCTCCTCCTGCTCCTCACCTGCCCACTGTCAGGGGTAAAACTTGAAAGGAGCATTCCAAAAGGACCACAACCAAGGCTTCCTCCAGGTACAGCAAGGGTAACTGAGTTAGGATCTGTTTGTTCCTGAGGGATCAGGAAGGGCTGAACTCAGGAGAACACAATGGCAGACTCAATTTGACTCAGCTTAATTCGTGTGTGTGTCCCGAACCCAGATGGCGGGTGGAGGCCAAAGCCCCTCACGCCAGCCCATGTGGTTCACTCCATACCATCCCTGGCAAAGAGGAGGAATTATGATCTGACAAGCAGGACCTGCTGCTTCCTGCTCAGTGCTGCCCAGCATGAAAGACTACAGCTCAGGCCTCCCCTCTCCCGGGGACAGAGTTCCTCAAAACCAACAGGAAACTCCTACAGGGCAGAGCCAGGAGTTGGCTGACCTTGTCCCATAAACAGGAGAGTCGACACAATCACACACCAGGCATTTCCCACCCCCCTCCACTGCTGTAAATGCCCAAACAGCTCAGAATACCCAGGGTGTGATGGGATGGGGCCCAGGGGCTCGAGGGTGCGCCTTCTGCCAGGACCACACACAGCTCTCTCTACCTCTTGCATGGGAAAGA